ATCCTACGGGGGTGAATTCAATTGAAGCCTGTATTTCTTGTCGCTCTATGGCGTACTTGAAGTGGCTTGGGCCAAAAGCTTTGTTGGAAATTTTTTGCAAAGTGCGACTGCTTTCCTAATTGTTCCTGGTACAACCCTCTCTCCCATTCTACTTATAATCATTCCGGCTTTTCCTGGAGAGCGTTCTATCGTGGTCTCGCACGCCTAGCACTCAACTGAAGAAATAAGACCCTAGTTAAAACATTTTTGAATTTGCGGGCTAGATATCTCAGCTTTGGAGAGGGCGTATCCACGCTCAGAAGCCTGCGGACGGGGGTATGTGCCGATTCAGTCGTGGGGCAGGGCTAGCTCGCCGCGCTGGTGGGCGCGGCTGGCGACGCCGCCTCCATCGCGTACGAGTCGTAATACAGTAATGCAACCCTCAAATTACGGCGTCATGCGCCTCGCTACGGGAGCGGCGGAATCGCCCACGTTCTCGTTTCGCAGTGCACACTTGTGTATCTGTAGAACTTTTCCTGATTTCTTCTTGATCAAACTTCCATTTTTAGGGTTCCTCGTCATGGGTGGTATCCTTGAGGAGACGTGGTGTGCTTTCGGTGGTCCGAGTGTTCACTTGCCTATACATAACTAAAGAACAGATGCTCAGTGCCCTTGAGGAAGCTGGAATTCGTGTTGAAGATGACCGTAAATGTATACTGTATGAAGTCAACGACATGTTTGTTATCTGTGCCCGTAAACGTCCCGCTGATAACGAGTACAGCTGATGTGCATGTTCAGCTTAACATTCAAGACAAAAGTCAGCTGATCGTATGGGCGGAGACAGTCAATATTAGTGCATCTCTCATTGGTGCGCCACTTCTTTTTACCGTATCCGAACAAGGAGCTTACCAATGAGCGTGGCACAATGGTTGACTGCTCCGCCCATAGCCCGTATGTGTTTTGATGTTATTCGTGCACATTTTTCTACGTTTGTGTAAAAACACTGGCTCGTCTCAGTGACGTCATGGTTTCTTACTTCTTGTCACGATGTACATACTGTAACCATTTCCTATCATTACCGGTTTTCTGAGTTGTTTTTCCTGCCCAAACGTTGGTAAAAAAGAGTATTAGATATGACGAGGTTTCCATTCGCTTCATTTTCATTTGTTTCCGTACTAATTCGACTAGAGATGTAATAAACTGATTCGAGATCTTTCTATCAATGAAACGGAATTATTTACTCCTTGCTGCCTAAGTTTTTGAAAAATAGAAATTTGTTTAACAAGGTTTCCTTCAGGAGATGAATTTCGCGAGAAAATTGCCTCGGCGAGTTTGCCAGAAACCTATCTCGGGGCTTCGTGTCACCGGCAGGACATACCATCACCTTCTGGGATAAGAAATTTTGCAAAACACAACCCCCCCCCCCCTCCATCCCGATTCGCCGCTCTAGTACGACCTCCATTTTCCAGCCCACCTGCCGTCTTCCCAACTTTTCCCAAACATTTGGCGTTAAGCACGGAGATGAGGCACC